CATAAACACACATCCCCACATGGAGCGTCTTCAAGACGTCGTGTGCTGAAGGTTCGGGTCGGCCGGCTGCTGCAAGCAGAGGGCAGAACAGCGCTTGCGCGTCCGCTCTCAGCAGACTGGCGAGACTTTTAACAGCTATATTGAGGACGTCGTCGACCTTTGTCGACGTGTGAATGACACCATGCCCGAATCTGACAAGGTCAAAAACATCCTTAAGAGCATCGACGATGGCGCAAGTTTCTCCTGCGCATTACGAGCCACCTCTATCTAGCCGTGGTCACTGCCCGGGTGTCGCACAGCCGGTAGGCACTCCTGTCACCTATCCGCCAGCCGTTCAGCCTGTGGCCGCGCCCCAAACCTATGCAACGCAGCCTGTGGCTCCTCCTGTCGCCTTTTCGCAAGAGATGCAGCCCGTCGCCGCGCCGCTCACATATGCAGACGCTGTACGTAAACTCCCGCAAGCACCCTACACCACGCGCTTACAACCCGCACACCCGGCTGCTTATACTGCACCTTGGGCGGCAGCACCAGTCGCCAATCCCTGGAGGACGCCCGATAACCGACCGATTTGCTACGCTTGCTTCACTCCCGGACACGTTTCTGGCTACTGCCGCCGTCGACCTCAGACGTTCGGCAACTATGCCCGGTCGTCGCATCCCGGCAGCCAACCCTTCGTCCAATATGGGCCGGTATCGCCACCTCGCTATGCACCTACTGACCACCTTGACTTCCAGCCGCAACGTGCAACCTCTCCTCGTCGGCGATCACCTCCCCCATGCGTCGCCGGCCGGACCCTCCGACCAGGAAAACTAAGCAACGCAGTTCCAGAGGCAAGAACTGCGCCGTTTTCGAACTGTCTAAGCCCTCGCTCCTCTCCTGCTAACGTGGTCGCAGTAATTGTGAAGGTTATTGTACTTTCGCCCTTGTGGACACTGGCGCCGCTGTTTCTGTTATTGCCGCTAATCTCTGCCGTTTATTACGCAAAGTATCGACGCCGCTCTCGGGACTGTCGCTTCACACCGCAAGCGCACAGCAAGTAACGCCTCTCGCAGCCTGCACTGCAAGAGTCTCCATCGAAGGCATTCTTACATCGTGGAATTTATTGTTCTTCCTGTCTGTTCGCATGACGTCATCCTGGGGTGGGACTTCCTATCCCGCCATAATGCCGTCATAGACTGCGCACGTGCCGAAGTTGAGTTTTCACCCTTGTGTGATGTCCCATTACTGGACGCTCCTCATCAGCCGCCGAAGTTGCTCGTTCATGAAGATACCGATATTCCGCCTGGAAATTGCGCCCTTGTTCCCGTTTCATGCAACGCCTACACTGACGCTACAGTTCTTTTATGCCTTCCGATATCTTCAAATGTCGTCGAGCTTTGCCGCTGCCTTCGCAACATTGACCTTGCCACCGGAAGAAGCAACATGTTCGCAAGCAATCCGCTTTCCACACCTGTCACATTGCTTGCGGGGAATGTCTCGGCCGCGTGCAGGATCTCGACCCTTCGTTTTGTTTGATGTTCCGGACGACTACTGCGACACCCAAAGCACTGTCGGCACTCGGGGAGTCGTCCAATGATACGTTTTCCAGCGCCATCGCCGACATTCTCACTCCCACCGAACAAGCCGACCTGCTGGATCTTCTGCATGAGTTCAGGAGTTCGTTCGATGTGTCGCAACCCCAACTGGGCCGCACATCACAAGTCAAACATCATGTTGACACCGGACTACACCAGCCACTGCGTCAAAGACCATACCATGTCTCCGCTGAAGAGCGCCGCGTCATCAACGATCAAGTTGAAGATATGCTTCGTAGAGACGTCATTCGACAATCTCACAGTCCCTGGGCGTATCCCGTCGTCCTGGTGCGTAAGAAACACGCATCTTTCCGATTTTGCGTGGACTATCGTCGTTTGATTAAGATAACCCGCAAGGACGTCTATCCTTTGCCGCGCATTGATGACGCCATTGACACCCTTCACAGAGCAGAATTTTTCTCGTCGCTAGATTTGTGGTCTGGCTACTGGCAGGTCCCAATGGCAGAAGCCGATCGCCAAAAAACGGCATTTTATTACACCAGACGGACTATATGAATTTAACGTCATGCCCTTTGGGCTTTGTAACGCGCCTGCCACGTTTGAACGTCTTATGGATAATACGCTACGTGGCCTCAAATGGAATATGTGCCTCTGTTACCTCGACGATGTGGTTTTCTCCCATGACTTTCCTACGCACCTCCTTCGCCTCAGGCACAATTTGAGTTGTCTGACAAACGCTGGTCTGCAGCTTAACCTGAAAAAATGCCGCTTCGCTGCACGCGAGCTCGTCATTTTAGGCCACATCGTGTCCAAGCACGGCGTATTACCAGACCCAGCAAAACTTCGTGCAGTCGCAGAATTTCCCAAGCCAACGACCATGAAAGAACTTCGCAGTTTTGTAGGCCTATGCTCCTATTTCCGGCGCTTTGTTCGCAATTTTGCATCTATCATGTCACCGTTAACCCAGCTTCTTCGCGGTGACGTGAACCTCACCTCCTGGTCCCCTGCTTGTGACGTTGCCTTCACTACTCTGCGCCGTCTGTTCACTTCCTCACCTATTCTTCGCCACTTCGACCCGATGGCTCCTACCGAAGTGCACACCGACGCCAGCGGCGTCGGGCTAGGCGCGATCCTCGCTCAACGGAAGCCCGGCTATTCAGAATACGTTGTAGCCTACGCTAGCCGCACTCTGACGAAAGCCGAAACTAATTGCAGCGTGACAGAAAAAGAGTGTTTGGCTCTGGTGTGGGCGCTTGGAAAGTTCCGGCAGTACTTATACGGCCGCCCGTTCGATCTAGTAACTGATCACCACGCGCTTTGCTGGCTCTCCACGTTGAAAGACCCTTCTGGCCGCCTCGCGCGATGGGCACTTCGCATCCAGGAGTACGACATTCGCGTCGTATACCGCTGCGGACGCAAACACTCTGACGCTGATGCCCTGTCCTGCTCACCTTTACCAATAGATCAGACGTGCGGAAACACTTGCCTCCAGACCTTGTCATCGCTAAATCTCGATTCGATCGCCACCGAACAACGTCGTGACCCGTGGATCGCCTCTCTTATCGAATCTGGCACGCCCCACCTTCCGGTATCTCGATCCCTCCGACGTCAAGCTTTCCATTTCGCCATCCGCGATCAACTTCTTTATCGACGCAACTACGCTCCCGATGGCCGCCGGTGGTTGCTGGTCATTCCACGCACTTTACGATCGCAAGTATGCGCTTCCCTTCACGACGATCCGCAATGTGGCCACGCCGGAGTGTTCAAAACATATGAACGCCTTCGCCATCGCTATTACTGGCGCGGCATGTACAATTTTGTACGTAAATTCGTGCAGTGCTGTCCTGACTGCTAGTGACGTAAATCAACACTGCCACGTGCGACTGGCGCATTGCAGCCATTTCCATGCCCTGCCAAGCCATTTGATCGCGTCGGCGTTGACCTCTACGGTCCCCTTCCATTGACACCAGATGGTAATCAGTGGATTATAGTGGCGGTTGACCACCTGACACGCTACGCCGAAACAGCCGCTTTGCCGAGCGCTACAGCTCAGGATGTCGCCTCTTTCATTTTGCAACCCTTTATCCTTCGACATGGTGCACCTCGAGAGCTCCTTAGTGACAGAGGCCGCGCTTTCCTTTCTGAGGTCGTCGAAACTCTGCTTTCGAAATGCCACGTCATTCATCAGAAAACGACAGCATACCACCCGCAGACTAACGGACTAACGGAACGGTTCAACCGCACGCTAGGTGATATGCTGTCAATGTACGTGGCATCTGATCATAGCAACTGGGACCGTGTTCTCCCATATGTCACGTTCGCATATAACACTGCAATACAAACCACCACGGGATTCTCACCTTTCTTCCTTCTTTATGGACGTGAGCCTTCCCATACAATTGATACCCTACTTCCTTATCATCCTGATGCTTCCGAGTGTCCACCTATCTCCGATGCTGCTAGACAAGCCGAAGAGTGCCGCCAGCTCGCCCGTGCGTTCACCTCGGAAGAGCAACAACGCCAGAAAGAAACCCGTAGCACCTCTCTTCCGGATCCCAGCTATGCCCCAGGGTCTCTTGTGTGGCTTGCCATCCCATACCAAACACCGGGACTCTCCTCGAAACTTGTCCCCCGGTACGAGGGGCCTTACACCGTTTTGGAGAAAACCTCTCCGGTTAATTTCCTAAATGAACCAGTTTCGCGATCGGACGACATGCGGCGGCGTGCACGTGACATCGTCCATGTTTCCCGACTGAAACCGTATCATGAGCCTCTGCCTGAAACTTCTTAGGTCGCCAGGATGGCTCCTTTTTCAGCGGGGGCGTTTGTGAAGAAGAAGATGTGCCTGCAGCGAGCAGCATCGCCAACGCCCGGCTCTCTCGGCTCGTGTTTCGGTCCATTGCTGTGCCGATCGCTGGACGCTTCTTCACGCTGTCTCGTCACTGTCTTTAACGGCTAATAAACCTCCTCACAATATATATATATATATATATATATATATATATATATATATATATATATATATATATATATATATATATATATAGAGAGAGAGAGAGAGAGAGAGAGGAGAGAGAGAGAGAGAGAGAGAGAGAGAGAGAGAGGGAGGCTTGCAAGCGCAGCGAAGGACAACAGGAACCATAAAAATTCAACAACTAAAAGTTGCCATTCCTGTTCATATTAAATTAAACTGGAGCAATCACTGCATAAACATTTGTCCTTGTCTGGTATACTTGATAACGAGAGTACAATTAACACCCTTGCGTGAGAACACTGTAAACAGCTACTTTTCAAACTTTAAAACAAAGTTCAGAAGGCAAACACAGGAAATGCTTTCCTGTTTTTTGGAAAGTATATCTTTCAAAAGAAATTGCCTAGTAGCTAGCCGTCGGGCCATTCCCGTCTCTGAAAGCACCTTGGAAGGTCACAGTCGGGCCAGATGAAGCTGTCGTGTGTGATGCCGGGTCATTTTGATGTCAGCTGGGTAATGACACCCTCAGCATCGCAGATCGCTTGTACATTGATTGTGTACAGGCGTTTTCGGTTCCTGTACAAGTGTTCCTGGTCCTTAGGAGGCTTGATTTGCACATGAGTGCCACAAATGCATCCTAAGACCTTGGGGAACTCAGCTATCTGCGAAAAGGCTAAAAAGAACATGAATGAACAGCAATTGAAGGCGTTGCTAAGGCATATTAGCCAGTAAGGTAATGACATCATTTCGTCAAGGCCACCTATAGATTTGAGCACCTTGAAACACTGTGAAATACCCCGCAAGCTCTGCATGTCGGTATGTTTCGCAAAGAAGTGCGCTGAGACATCTCAAATGATTAAGTTCCCAAGATGGCGAGCAAGGCAGTGTGTGATAAAGAAATAAAAGTTTTGCTGCAAAACCATACACTCTGGTGACATATGGGTGCTACCACCGAAATAACGTTGCATGCAACTAGTGACCTGAAATCAAAATAATTTGTAAAAATAACTTCATGAGTCCAGGAAGTTTAGCTACATGAATTACTTTCCCCAAGACTGTGACATTTCTTAGTGAACAGAAAGGTTGCAGTTAAACTGGAAAAACCGTGCTTTAGGCAAACAACAAAAAATTGCTCAACAATGTATGCTGTAGAAACTTCTCCCTCTTGTAGCAGGATATTCTGCAAATTATTACTGGTGCCAAGATGTGTGGTAGCCTAGTAGTAGCTTTCAAGAGATTTGCACTGGTTAATTGTAAAATTGCCACACTAACAAAACACTGTAGTCGTTATGACACTACACGTCATGCAACAACATTAGTTGACAAAGTTCAACTCACCGATGGCCGTAGCATTACCAGCCCTCAGTGTCGCCGGGAAGCGTATGTGCTCCGCAGCCAGCGAGAACAGGGCGTCAGTTACTTGTGCCACAATGCTCGACGCACTCGATTGGCTCACGCCAACCGTGTCCCCTACCATAGAATGAAAACTGCCGCTTGCGTAAAAGCGCAAAGCGAGCAGCACTTGCACATTCACCTGTAAGGCGCGAGACCACGCCGTAGGCCGCTGCAGTCGAGGCTCTAGTGTCGTACAAAGGGTCCGAATATGTTCCATAGGGAACCTGTAGTAACGCAGGTGCTGGTCCGGAACATCATTCAAGGCTAGGCGCCGGTGGAAGGTGCGCTCTCTCCGGAGGGAAGGTTGTCGCTGACGAGCGTTGGCTGCCAGGACGTACTCCATGGTTCGGATAGCATAGGCCAAGGGTAATAGCTGCCGATGCACCCATATTTATAGCAGAACGCATAGGTTTGTGACTTCCGGTTCCGCCAATCGCGACGCTGGGATTACCATAGCAACCAGAGAAGCAAAGAGTTGACACAAAAAGGTACGTCGAATCCTTGTAGTTCGCATAAAGCATCTCGGCAACTTTGTAGCAATTTAAATCTGCAATCGCTAGTCTGAAGACACGCAGCCGTAAACACCGTTGAGCTATTGACCTGCTGTCACACAGCCTCCGCACAGTCCTTGGATGTGTTAGTACAGAACCAGCGTTCCACTGAGCTTCACTGCTCAATCGAAAAATGCGCTTTCTTCGAGTACGAGTAAAACAAATAATAATAGTAGCGCTATGCTGAAGCCGGAATCAAATAAACAGCGTCGCTTAGGAGTTACAGTCACTTTTCATGATCAGTCAAGGAACTTGCCCAAGCGATTCCGATGCCAGATATAACACTGCACCTGAACAAAGTACTCCGGAAGGCGATGCGTACGTGCGCCCAGCGGTCTTCAAACACACCTTAAAGGCTCCGTAAAGAAATCGGCTACGACGATGCACTGGCGCCTATTTCCTCTCCACAAACACGCCAAAGCAGCCGTTTCACGTTCCACCGCTCACCGAGAGACACTGCCGTCGGTTTTCACACAACTTGGACGCCCTGAAGGCACAACGTAATTCCCAACACAGCGATAAGCAACGGAGTCCACAATACAGCGACAATAGAAGCGCATTGCGGAAACCGGAATCCAATAAACTGCCTCGCTAAGGAGTTATAGCAACTTTTCAGGATAACTCAAGTTACGTGACCAAAGGATTTGGATGCCAGTGGAACAAATTACTCCGGAAGGCGATGCGAACAAGCTGTCAGCCGTAATCGAACACACTCTGAAGCATCTTTGAAGGCCCCGTAAAGAAGTCGGCTATGAAGAAGCGCTGGCGCCTTCTTCCTCATCGCAAACACGTCGAGGCACACATTTCACGTTTCACCGTTCATCGAAAGACACTGCCGTCGGTTTCGCACGGCCTGCACAATCCGGAAGGGTAGCGGAATCCGCAGTACAGCTACTGGTGTCCGCGGGAATGACCCCCCGCACTTGTTCAGGTCGCCATGTTGTTCTTAGAAACTGCGCAGCAGGGGTAGGCGCTAAAATAACCTGGAAAAAGCACTTGCGCGATTTTCCAACCAAGACAAAATATGCTCTTATGTGAGAGGGGGAAGATATGACGAACAGGACAGAAATGCCTGATGTAATAAGTGTTTTGCAACGTCATAAAGTGGCCTGATGTTAAAAGTACCGCTTGTCAACCAATCACAAGCTGCGCTTCACGACTTAGCTGTCGTCTGCTCCCGTTTGTCGTCTGCTTCGATGGGAGCACGCTTGGAGGGTTTCAGCTGTTTCACCGTCGTCACGAAATGATTTTTAGGCTAAGTGGTCTCTGATTCGCACAAAACATGCGTCAGTGTCTGGCACCACATTTTACAGACATTCTAACGCCAAGGTAAAAGATTTTTTATTGCCGAAGGGACGAGTTCAGCCAAGGTTTGCTCGAGAATTGTGAGGCTTTGCACATTCCTAGTGTCCATCTATATTACTAAGGTGGTTTTATTCTGACTGCTTGCCATACTTACGCTTCCAACTTCAGTTTTCGAAGAGTGAACGCGGAAAAGCTTCGTTCGTTTGCAGTTTTATGCATAATCATGAACACCCCTAATACGCTTTCATTTACAAAGTACGCACCCCTTCCAGATCGTCCAAAAGTGCATCGACAGCTGTATTTCACAGATCGTGTTCATTGGACAGTTATATCCAATCGAAGTATATGAAAGTGCAACCAGAGAGTAGGCTTTATGAATGGCTAACTATGAAAGTGTCTCCCGCTCCGATATCCAGTAGCATCAAGGTGGTGTGCTCTTCTTAAACTCTTTGGTGGTAATCTCGACCAATCGGGCAGACATCACAAGTTGTACAATTTATTGGAAGATTTTGAAGGCACCACAAGAACATAACAAAGCATTTTGACCATATACTGCGCTGCTTTCGAGTTCACCAACCATTGACACCGCACTTTGGTTTTCATCCAACCACATGCCTTTGCATGTAACATTATACACCCCTGACGCCCAATAGAATTCCTTAATTATTGCGGTGCTAACCTTATTGGATGATTTTGATTGCTAATACTGTCCGTTGCATCCGAGGGAAAAAACAAATCAACTCAAAGCACCGGAATAAACCAAAGCCCAGCAGTAATCATCAGGCCGCCTTACAAGGACATCAATAAACTCAAAATCAGCCACGGCACCCATGTATCCCACCGCGGCTGCAATTCCTAAGCAGCCACAATGTTCGTAGGAGTAGTCCAGACCACTTTAAGATTTTCCCATAGCCAGGCTGTTTTTACGCAACATTTGGCTTCGTGAATCCACTTACGAGCACTTTTTGGTGATGTAAGCAAATATAGCAACTGAATCACCATCGCTGACATGTTCCCGGGCAGTCGCAGCGCACTTTGTTGCAGCGGCCGATGTGACAACGATGGCCTTTTACGACATTTTTTTCGTTTTGTGAATCGACTTACGCAACAAACTTTCTCTTGCGCGAACATTTTTTCGTAAGTGAGTTTTGGGAATCAGGCCCCAGATTTCGATGTCGTGTTCCCTCATTATACTTTTATTGGTATAGGGCTGGTCTGACGATATCACCCCTCTGCCAATTCTGTGAGGAACTGGAAAATATCGCACATTACTTTTTGACAGGTGCAAGATGTTCTCGTATCAGAACTCCAATTCAAATTACTCTTTTTACAAAAATAGGCTTGACCTTATCGGAGGAAAATATTTTAAGCTTCGGTGCCTCAGGCTTGGGATACTGCCACAGAGATTCCTTTGATGCCATGTGTAAATTCATTATAAATACTGAGCGAGTACCGTTTCAACCTGGTATTTAACATCATTCGTAGTTTCGTTAGGTTAAAACTAAGTTTTCAACATTATTCTTATCAGGTTATTATGGCAGTCTGGAACACAGGCTCAAAAGCATGTTACTTGTTGTTAAATTTATTATATTCGTATATTTGCCCTTTCATTCTCTTATTCTTGGTTTTAAATTTCCTAGCTTACCTAAAATAAAATTTACCAGTCTCTACGTTGCATTCTTGGCCAATCCCCCAAAGCGGGTACGTGCCATATATCTAGGATACCAAAGCGAAGCAAACAAAAGGTGACACATATGGACAAGTGGGAGGAGAAGTGGTTGCCCAAGACAAAAAAAAAAACGAAAGACCAGCCGAGCCAAGAAGACAAAACGGATGACAAGATGCTTGTGGAATCGTGAAAAAGTGTCAGAGAGCTGACAGAAAGAAAGGAGAAAGAACAGCGCCAGACCCAGTCGAAGGAAAATGACGAGCAGAACCGAACAGCACCTGAAAACACAGAGGAGGTGGAAAGCACCGCAGTGAATCTTAAGGAAAAATCACCGCAGACGGGCCAAACTCCGAAGCGAGAGCCAGCCACTAAAGCATCGAGGATGAATTATGCAAAGGAGGACACTGGCATCGTGCGTGTTGGGGCTTTCCCTAAGGTGTAGCCAGTCAAGACGGCTGGGAAATAAGAAGTTGCCTTGAAAGTTTCACGCAACGAACGGGCAAACTTCTGCGTGCTATAAAGGATTTAACTCGCCGGTGTATAGGCATAGCTGTTTTCTTTGTTTTGTTCCTGTTTTTTCTTTATTTGGTTTATTTCGTGTGTCATTTAATAAGTATTTCATAAAGTGGATGGCTGAACATTTGTATCCTAAGTCAGTCAAGAACATTCTTTGGAAATCCTTAACGAGGACGTTAAGCGTCACAGGATGGCCGAATGCTGGAAATTCATGTGTCTTTTTGTAGATAGTAAAAGAGGACGAAGACGTTCAGGGAGACTCATGTGCAGTTTTGGCCCGTGTGGCGTTTAGTAGCTTGTGTGGCGTTTGAGCATAGCCTGCGTGGCATTAGTTTATTCGTGTGAGAGTAAATTATTCGTTTTTACAGGGCTCGTGTGCTTAAAGAACGCCCGACGAAGATAGCGATCATAATTAAAATTTTTAAGGCAATTTATTATGCTAAAGAATTGTATCTAGAACAATGAAATAAATAAAGAAATACTTCGCTCTATCATCTGCAGTTAGTGCAGTTGTCAAAAACAGTGTTGATTGATAAATGGATTGAAATATCCGCAAACTTTTTAGTTCGTGATGACCATTTTCAGGCTATTTTTCCATTTTTGCCTCAAAGCAAATTGGTGAAGATGGTGTGAGTAAAATTACTTTTACATTTTAGTTGTAAGGCAGAAATATTAACACGAGAGGATACAAGATACCACCCGGTATTGAGAACACCTACGTCACTACTTCTCATGAAAAGCGTGTTGGCTATAGAAAGCAGATAAGCTTCGTAAGTAGGTTAGGTTTCCCTTATGACAGGACAAAAGTATAATTGCGGAAAAGTACGCACGAAATCTTGCTGCTGCCGAAGACTTTTTTCTTTTATACATACGTCTACACGTTTTTTTTCTGATTATTTAGTTTCAGTACACCAAGCAAAGAACGCGGGCATCTATAGTGGTTAGAAACTAAAACTTTACTGATTGCTTGGCATCATGAGTGGAGAAAGGTAAGGGTCCTGCAATTCCGTCACGTTGCGGCGTCACATTTTCTGTGTTCGCGCTCTGACGGCAAGCAGCGTTGTTGTTACAGACTGTATGGACTCTATTAGTCTTTCAGCTCATGTGAGCCACGAGGTCTTGCTTGGCTGCAGTACAACGGCTGTGCGAATCCTGCATTAAAGCAAGACTTTAATAAAAAAATGTTCTACTGTTCTTTCAACAGGCTCTACACAACAGTGTATTGCCGCGAGAAATATAACAACGCGGATAATTCATACAAAAGCTCTTTCTCCACATTTTGTCCGTGCGGCAAAGCGAGCA